TAAATAGGCCATGATTGGCAATGATAAAGATACTAGAAATCCACAGGTAAGAGTACTTATGGACTAGAGGGGTTAGAAAAGTCCACATGCGGTAGCAGCGGAAAACGTTCAAGCAGCGAAGGAATGGTGCGCTGTGAAGAAAGGAGTTGTGCAGATGGAGAAGAGGAAAGAGAAGGAACAGAGGGTGGATCAGTGTCCATTGATGGTTTGGTCTCTGCAATATATTCAGAGATTGCTTCAATTGTTTTGGAGTTCAGAGATGTCGTATGGGAGGCAATATTGGAGATGGAAGGAGGAGGAGTTTGAGTAAAGATCGGATCTGTAATGGACTGTACCAAGGTGGGGGGGGGGGCGAAAGGGTGGAGGGAACTGGAGAAGTATGGGAGGGGACAGAAGAGGCAAAAACCTGGGAGGTGGCAGAAGAGGAAGAAACTTGGGAGGGGACAGGGGAGGAAGGCACAGTACAAGGAGGAGGATGAACCTCCACACTTGTAACAGAGCCAGTGAAAGGGGAAGACCCAGGTACAGAGACTGGGAAGGTAAAGTGTGGAGGTGGATGAAGGGAAGGAGGGGTTAAAGGAGATTTTTTTGACTTCTGAGAAGTAGAGGGACGATTGGGAGGAGGTGTTGTACGATTTCTTGTTGATACCAGGGTTTGTGAGGGAGAACACAAAGAAGTGAGAATAGACCGAGGTGTTGAAGTAGGGATGTCTGAGCCCAGGACAGCAAAAGAATTAGATACAGGAGTGACTATGGGACTGGCACCCACAGAGGAGGCTGCAGAAGGTGGGACCCTAGAAGTGCGGGGACGTTTTGAAAGACGAGAATAAGAAACACGGGGTAGTCTTCCTTGGAGGCGGAGATGAGAAACCGCCATAGCATAAGGGAGACCTTCTGCCTCTTTGAGGCAACGAATTTCCCACTCATTTAAGTAGACCTGGCAATGGTGAGAGTACGAAGGGTGAGCCTCATGACAATTAACCCTTTGAGGGTCTGTCCCGTAGATCTACGGCTTTACGTTCAGGGTCCAAACCGTAGATCTACATCATGAGCTCAGCTCACTCTGATATACTGTGAGTGGTACATTTGGGCCTAGATATGAGAGAATACATCTATGTGGTATGTGTGCACCACATAAAACAGATCCTGCAGCACGCTGTGTATAATGAGAGAAAAAAACTGAAATCATGATTTTTCGATTAAAACAGCGACTTTGCAGTGTTTTTTCGTATGTTTTTTATAGTTCTATTTGCGATTTCTTGGTCTCATTTGATAGAATGGAAGACATATTACAGAAATAGAGATGATTTTGATTGGTTTTAGTACTGGAAATGGCTTGAAACTGAGCTCAAAGTAGCAGAAATGTTAAATTTTTGCCGATATTCAAGAGTAAACAAACGACCTCACACGTCTAATACACGCCAGCTGGTGGGTCTAATATGCATTCACAAATATGGTGATGATATTTATACAATTATTACAGTATTGCATAATAGTAAATCTTCTATTTTTTGGTGTGAATAAAAATTCATTATGTGAATAAAAAATCAAAATGGAATTTATTTGTAAAGCCTCAAAACGTAACTAATGAACAGAAGAAATGTTAGTTTAGTTCCAGGAATACCTACATTGTTTATTCTGGACCCAATTTTGAAATTTGGAATATTTTGAACTTTGTTTTAAATTGGCCAAATTAACAATTTCCGATCACTTTAATTTGTAGTTGAAACAGTTGACTTGGCGATTTCTTGTGCTCAATCGATAGAATAGAAGTAATACTAGTGAAATAGCTAAGAATTTGGTTGACTGGAATAATGTAATTGGCCTAAAATGGGAGTCAAAGTCGGCAAAATCGCCGATTCGTAATTATCGCTGGCACATCAAAATTCGCGAGAGCATAATTTCGTCAATTTTCCATCAAATTTCGTACTTTTTGTTTTATTACCTTCACAAAAAGATTCTCTACTATTTCATAAGAAAAAATAACAAATTTTTTTTTTGAAAATTCTTGGACACTGGGGCACCACTTCAGATTTGGGCCTTGGACCCTGAAGGGGTTAAGGCAAGAGGGAGGTCGACTGCAAGACGTATTAGAATGGTCATCGGTACCACAGACTGGGCATTAGGCTATAGATCTGCAATATTTTGATGGGTGGCCAAATCGCCAGCAATTTCTGCACTGTTGCGGTGTAAGGATCACCTTTCGAACTTGTAACCGATGTCCTGCTACATAAACAGAGGATGGGAGTTCACAGCTGTCTAAAGTTAAACAAGCCACATTGCAAGGGTATCGTCTCTGCCCACAGGCAGGAAGAACATAAGTGTCTACCTTGAGAATTGGGAGATATTGGAGTTCCAGCTGTTCGAGAACGTCATTGCCACATGTCTGGAAATTCTGTTGGACTATGGTATGGGGTAGAATGACAGTACCACTACAAGAATTGAGGGAATAATGTTTTTCAATAGTGATAGGAATAGTATCGATATGTGAAAGAAGAGAAAGATCATGAGCTTGGGTAGCATTCTGGACTGTGATGATGCACGTACCACTCTGAAGAGCATGAAAGGAAATATCTCTACCAGTCGGTCTTAAAGTAAAGAATTTAGTCCATTGTGTGGTCCGAAACTGAGTGTGGAGAGGGAGTGCATGACGTGTCGGTCTTTTCCGAGTAGAATGGAAAGGTAACGAAGTAACATCATCAGGAGATTGTCATTGGCGTTTAGAAGTGGGACCAGAGTTGGTCTGACATGTAGCGGGCTGGCGATTCGAAAATTGCCGCACCGTAGAGGGAGAGGCCGGAAGCATAGTCAAAGGAGAGAGGAGGTCAGACAAATCGAAGGAGTCAGTCGAAACCCCGGCACCTGAAGCGGGTGACGAAACAGCACCAGCAAGAGGTACAGGGGCCTTAGGAGTGTCCGAAGAGTGGCCAAAAGATGAGGCAAGGTCAGAACGGGGTGTGGTAACAATAAGGGGCCCTGGGGTAGTGGGGTCATGGATTGGGGACTCCATGGTTAGGTTACTTCTTTCTTTTTGTTTAAAAAAAAAAAGAAAAAAAGAATAGAAAATAAAAATAAAAAAAAGAATAAAAAAAGGGGGGACCGGGGAGGGATAGTTCCTAGGAGGAATGAAAGGGCCAGAAATCTCCCTCCGTGCCCAAGAGGACCTCAGCACCGCAAGTAGCGCAGATGCAGCATGGAACCCCTGCCATACCCTTCCCATCATGCCAGTAAACCAGCAATCCGGGATAGCAACCTCACATCTGCCAAGCTACCTCGGTGGACAAAAGAGAGAGCAGCCGGATATCCACCACAAAGCATACCTCCTTCGGAAACCACCCCCGGAATCCGAAAGGTGGCTTCCAGAGATACACCCGTCGCCCGAAAGCCACCCAAAGCCACCGTCCGTGATACCGGTGAGGGATCGGGACATCCCCAGGTGATCCAGATTCCACAGCAAACTACGCCACCACCAATAACCTCAACAGAATGGGATGGACCCTGGTACCCTTTTCCCTACCTAGGAACTAGCGCGCCTTTGGGAAAAATCCCAAAGGCCAAAAAGAGAAAGGGCAAAAGGGAGGGGTGGGGAGGAGGAGGAGGAAAGGAAAAAGGGGAGGATGGGATAGGGAAGGGGATATTGGGGGGTAATTTGGTTCGGTCTGAGGAAGGAGACCGACAGGTCTAACTTACATTGTGCAAGATTGCAGCCAAATGGGTGCCAAATAAGATTAAGGATAAAACAATTAGAATGATTTGAATAAAATGTGCAATTTTTGCTTATCTGTTCCCTGAGCATATGCTCAATCTGATGATGCCATTTGGTGCTTATTATGAGCTTTCAAATGTATATTTTAAGTTTTTCACACTGCAGTAGTTTTCTGAAGCATACAGCCAAGTACCGCTAAGCAGCACATCTGTCTCGCACTCAGCAGGGAGAATCGAGCCTCCATCACATCTTGTGCCAAGACCCACATGAGTTTAGTGCTTAAAATGAATATTTTTTCTGCAATAGTTTTCTCCATTAGAAAAAAAATAGTTTCCATGTGTAATAGGAATGGTTGCCAGTTGTGTCAGTCCCTAGGTTTAGATTACGTGTGTGAGATATTGATAGACTAGTGGCTTAAGGTTAGTAGCATAGAGGTTGGTACATAATTTTGAAAGTCAATCTACTGTTTAAATATTTTCAACATGTGTTGGATATGGGTGTCGAAGTTCAGTTCAGTAGTTCTGTTTGCAGGTAGAATGTCTATAAATGACAAAATACTTTTTTCAAACTACAGGAGGTACCTCGGTATACGTCCGCTTTGGAATAAGTCCAACTTGGTACATGTCCTGTTTGGACACGAAAGTGTTTGCTTGGTATACAACCTTTGTTTGGAATATGACTCGTGTGCTAGAACTTGTATTGGTCAAAATGAATCATGACACTGCACACTAGCCTTTGCATTTCCAAAACATCCTAAGGAGAAGGCAGAAGCAAAGTTCTTTGGACAGATTTTTAGTAAAAGTCAAACCTGGTGAGCTTCAGCCAGGTCCAAATAGGGAAAAGAGACAGAAAAGAGAAGGGGACTCTCCTTCCAAACAATGACATTTCCTCCTCCACCCTTCTCAGCACTATCCTAATAGGCACTCAGCTCTTTTCAGCAAAGCAAAGTGAGGTTAAATTTGCATTTATTTCATCTAATTCTTTTGTATTTATGTATGTAGTATTTTAGTATTAAGCAGTGTTTAAATTACATATTTTAGTATTAAGCAGTGTTTAAATTATTTTATGCAACCCCATCAATGTATAATATGCCAATAACAACAGGATTTTTTTTCATGGGAACAGATTAATCGTTTTCCTTATACGTATTTCTTATGGGAAAATCCGTTTGGTATACGTCCTGTTTGGTACAAGTCCAAGGTCCTGGAATGGATTAAGGACATATACTGAGGTACCACGGTATGTAATTATTAGCCCTGGTAGTCACTGTGTAATTCAGTGTACTGTGTTTCAGGAACGTGGCACTACCGATGCAGAAGAGGAGGCAGGAGCTGAGATATCTGCACTAGTCAACTATGTACAACCCGTTCACTTCCACTCATTTGAAGCGGCAGAAAGTGAGTGAAGGCCATCAACGTATGCAACAAGTATTAATGAATGAATGAATACGTTTTTGCTTACTATTCTAACATCATCACATAAAGTGCAAGTTAACTCAAATGGAATTTTAGCCTCTTTGAAGAATTCTTTGTGATGAAAGAATATTTTTTTTTATTTTATGGAAAATAGTAATCCTGTCTTACCTACAATTATTTTTTTACAGTCATACAGTAATAATTCTTCAAGAAATGGGTAATATTCAAACAGCTTTGCTAAAAAAACCTTCGGCATCACTTAAAAGACTTTTGACCGATATCTATAAAACCATGTGAGGTGAATTAAGTGTTAATAATGCTGTTTTATTCTTTTAATTTAAAATAAATGATAAAATTTATGTAACACACACATTAATACAGTAATCTTATTCAGAATTCTCCCAAATTCAGAAAATAAATTCTGTTTTAAACTCATCTTTAAATTTTAGAATTTTTGTAATAAGAGCAAATGCTTTCTTAAATTTGAATTTGTGAATGTCCAGAAAAAATAAATAAATAAATAAATATAAATAAATTGAATGGTCAGGAAACTTAAGATTTTTTTTTTTTAACATCTTCTCAAGCCCAATTTATGTTTGTTACTTTTTCACAAATGCATTGATTTTTGTTTTATATTGGGTTATTTGATTTGTGTGTTGGGTGGTGGTTTCATATTTTTTTGGATACAAATTGGTGAAGAATCACTTTCTATGTGTGCTTATATTAGAGCTGGGAATATAAAACTAATTTTAAATCAGTTTACTTATTAACTTTGAGGGAAATAATTGTATTGATTTTGGGTAATAATAATAGAATAACCACAAGTCTTATCAAATGTGTTAATGAAAATAAATTACCTATCGTGCTTTTAGTAAGAACATAAGAAAGGAGGAACACTACAGCAGGCCTACTGGCCCATGATAGGCAAGTCCTTCTCAAACCCAAACCCACTTACAAAAATATTTGACCAACCTCTAGTCTGAGTACTGATGACCCCTGGAACCATCAACCATCTAGCAACTAAGTTAGGTTAGGTAGTGTGGTTAACACTTTTCCTTGCTGACTGGGCAACCAGTACCTGTGTGCAACTAGTAACTGGCAACCAGTACCTGTGTGCAACTAGTAACTGGACAACCAGTACATGTGTGCAACTAGTAACTGGACAACCAGTACATGTGTGCAACTAGTAACTGGACAACCAGTACCTGTGTGCAACTAGTAACTGGACAACCAGTACATGTGTGCAACTAGTAACTGGACAACCAGTACATGTGTGCAACTAGTAACTGGACAACCAGTACCTGTGTGCAACTAGTAACTGGACAACCAGTACCTGTGTGCAACTAGTAACTGGACAACCAGTACCTGTGTGCAACTAGTAACTGGACAAACAGTACCTTTGTGCAACTAGTAACTGGACAACCAGTACATGTGTGCAACTAGTAACTGGACAACCAGTACATGTGTGCAACTAGTAACTGGACAACAGTACTGTGTGCAACTAGTAACTGGACAACCAGTATCTGTGTGAAACTAGTAACTGGACAACCAGTACCTGTGTGCAACTAGTAACTGGACAACCAGTACCTGTGTGCAACTAGTAACTGGACAACCAGTACCTGTGTGCAACTAGTAACTGGACAACCAGTACATGTGTGCAACTAGTAACTGGACAACCAGTACATGTGTGCAACTAGTAACTGGACAACCAGTACCTGTGTGCAACTAGTAACTGGACAACCAGTACCTGTGTGCAACTAGTAACTGGACAACCAGTACCTGTGTGCAACTAGTAACTGGACAACCAGTACCTTTGTGCAACTAGTAACTGGACAACCAGTACATGTGTGCAACTAGTAACTAGACAACCAGTACATGTGTGCAACTAGTAACTGGACAACCAGTACCTGTGTGCAAATAGTAACTGGACAACCAGTACCTGTGTGCAACTAGTAACTGGACAACCAGTACATGTGTGCAACTAGTAACTGGACAACCAGTACCTGTGTGCAACTAGTAACTTGACAACCAGTACCTGTGTGCAACTAGTAACTGGACAACCAGTACATGTGTGCAACTAGTAACTGGACAACCAGTACATGTGTGCAACTAGTAACTGGACAACCAGTACCTGTGTGCAACTAGTAACTGGACAACCAGTACATGTGTGCAACTAGTAACTGGACAACCAGTACCTGTGTGCAACTAGTAACTGGACAACCAGTACATATGTGCAACTAGTAACTGGACAACCAGTGCATGTGTGCAACTAGTAACTGGACAACCAGTACATGTGTGCAACTAGTAACTGGACAACCAGTACATGTGTGCAACTAGTAACTGGACAACCAGTACATGTGTGCAACTAGTAACTGGACAACCAGTACCTGTGTGCAACTAGTAACTGGACAACCAGTACCTGTGTGCAACTAGTAACTGGACAACCAGTACCTGTGTGCAACTAGTAACTGGACAACCAGTACCTGTGTGCAACTAGTAACTGGACAACCACTACCTGTGTGCAACTAGTAACTGGACAACCAGTACCAGTGTGCAACTAGTAACTGGACAACCAGTACATGTGTGCAACTAGTAACTGGACAACCAGTACATGTGTGCAACTAGTAACTGGACAATCAGTACCTGTGTGCAACTAGTAACTGGACAACCAGTACCTTTGTGCAACTAGTAACTGGACAACCAGTACCTGTGTGCAACTAGTAACTAGACAACCAGTACATGTGTGCAACTAGTAACTAGACAACCAGTACATGTGTGCAACTAGTAACTGGACAACCAGTACCTGTGTGCAACTAGTAACTGGACAACCAGTACATGTGTGCAACTAGTAACTGGACAACCAGTACCTGTGTGCAACTAGTAACTGGACAACCAGTACCTGTGTGCAACTAGTAACTAGACAACCAGAATTTGTGTGCAACTAGTAACTGGACAACCAGTACATGTGTGCAACTAGTAACTGGACAACCAGTACCTGTGTGCAACTAGTAACTGGACAACAGTACCTGTGTGCAACTAGTAACTGGACAACCAGTACCTGTGTGCAACTAGTAACTGGACAACCAGTACCTGTGTGCAACTAGTAACTGGACGACCAGTACCTGTGTGCAACTAGTAACTGGACAACCAGTACCTGTGTGCAACTAGTAACTGGACATCCAGTACCCGTGTGCAACTAGTAACTGGACAACCAGTACCTGTGTGCAACTAGTAACTGGACAACCAGTACCTGTGTGCAACTAGTAACTGGACAACCAGTACCTGTGTGCAACTAGTAACTGGACAACCAGTACCTGTGTGCAACTAGTAACTGAACAACCAGTACTTGTGTGCAACTAGTAACTGGACAAACAATACCTGTGTGCAACTAGTAACTGGACAACCAGTACCTGTGTGCAACTAGTAACTGGACAACCAGTACCTGTGTGCAACTAGTAACTGGACAACCAGTACATGTGTGCAACTAGTAACTGGACAACCAGTACCTGTGTGCAACTAGTAACTGGACAACCAGTACCTGTGTGCAACTGTAACTGGAAACCAGTACATGTGTGCAAACTAGTAAACTGGACAACCAGTACATGTGTGCAACTAGTAACTGGACAACCAGTACATGTGTGCAACTAGTAACTGGACAACCAGTACCTGTGTGCAACTAGTAACTGGACAACCAGTACCTGTGTGCAACTAGTAACTGGACAACCAGTACATGTGTGCAACTAGTAACTGGACAACCAGTACATGTGTGCAACTAGTAATGGACAACCAGTACATGTGTGCAACTAGTAATGGACAACCAGTACCTGTGTGCAACTAGTAACTGGACAACCAGTACCTGTGTGCAACTAGTAACTGGACAACCAGTACATGTGTGCAACTAGTAACTGGACAACCAGTACCTGTGTGCAACTAGTAACTGGACAACCAGTACATGTGTGCAACTAGAAACTAGACAACCAGTACATGTGTGCAACTAGTAACTGGACAACCAGTACCCATGTGCAACTAGTAACTAGACAACCAGTACCTGTGTGCAACTAGTAACTGGACAACCAGTACCTGTGTGCAACTAGTAACTGGACAACCAGTACCTGTGTGCAACTAGTAACTGAACAACCAGTACTTGTGTGCAACTAGTAAGGACAACATACTGGTGATCAACTAGACATGGACAACCAGTCTGTGTGCAACTAGTAATGGACAACCAGTACTGTGTGCAACTAGTAACTGGAAACCAGTACTTGTGTGTACAACCAGTACCTGGTATAAACCAGTACCTGTGTGCAACTAGTAACTAGACAACCAGTACTGTGTGCAACTAGTAACTGGACAACCAGTACCTGTGTGAACTAGTAATGGACACAGTACAGTGTGCAACTAGTAACTGGACAACCAGTACATGTGTGCAACTAGTAACTGGACAACCAGTACCTGTGTGCAACTAGTAAACTGGACAACCGTACCTGTGTGCAACTAGTAACTGGACAACCAGTACCTGTGTGCAACTAGTAACTGGACAACCAGTACCTGTGTGCAACTAGTAACTAGACAACCAGTACCTGTGTGCAACTAGTAACTGGACAACCAGTACCTGTGTGCAACTAGTAACTAGACAACCAGTACCTGTGTGCAACTAGTAACTATACAACCAGTACACTGTGTGCAACTAGTACCTGGAAAAACCAGTACCTGTGTGCAACTAGTAACTAGGGCAACAGTACCATGTGTGCAACTAGTAACTGTACAACCAGTACATGTGTGCAACTAGTAACTGGACAACCAGTACATGTGCAACTAGTAACTAGGAAACCAGTACCTGTGTGCAACTAGTAATGGACAACCAGTACTGTGTGCAACTAGTAACTGGACAACCAGTACCTGTGTGCAACTAGTAACTGGACAACCAGTACTTGTGTGCAACTAGTAACTGGACTAACCAGTACCTGTGTGCAATAGTAACT